GCTGAAGAATGGGCGGCTGGCCCGTTCGTAAAATCTATGTGGGTGTTGGCTGTGTTTAGGTCCTGGAATGTCTCGGGCACAATGGATTTGAACGCTGCACAGATGACGTGCATAAATTGCATATCAAAGGTGCATCAGCAGCAGCAGCAGCAGCAGAGGCAGAGACAGAGGCAGCTACATCCAGGCAGCTATGCCAGGGAGCCGCTGCTATCTATAGATTTATGCAGCTCAACCTACCCGCGCATAGACCCATAGTTATGATGCATAACCCAATGCTTAACTCTGCCCGTTGGCTATGGCCGGGCCAAATGGTTTTTGTTTGCTTGCCCATACGCCGCCCTCTGCCCACTGCCCCTGCGCTCTGCCCGCCCTCTTCTCGCATTGATGAAAAATGATGCACTTGCTGGCGAATGGTGTCGCCCTGCCGTTGCACTGTGCTCTAACTGCAGCCGTTGCATTGTTTTGTTTTGCAAAATTTCAATTTTCCGGACGCCCAGCGGAGCCGAAATTGGATAAACGCCACAGCCAGTGGAGAAATTGAAGCCTGTGCCGATCTGGGCGAGGCAAGAGCATGTTGCACCGAAACCAGGCAACATAATTTTAATGAAAATCAATACATAAATTTCGCCATATTTAGATTGTTTCGGCCATGTGTTTATTTTGTATTATAGTTACGTTTATTATGAGACGGCCGAGACCAATCACCATGTGGCTGATGTCGGCGTGCCTGTTGCCGAAAACAATGCCAACCATAACAAGCTGTGTGTGTATGTGTGCGTGTGCGTGTCTAACTATTAATCTAGCCAAGCGAAATAGTCTTTAATTTATATGAAATTTAATTGAATAGCAAGCATATTTGTAATAGTTTTTATTTTCAGTTGCACCACGAGCTTCATTTAAAAACTGTAATTCAGTCATTGATGCAAAGCATCATGAAGCAATAAATTATTTAGTCATCGATAGACGTGTTTTTCATTTGAGTATTACTTTTTATATTTTTATTTGTTATATTCACAACACTTGAACAAAGGATAAAAAATACTTTTCTTTTTTTTTAACAATTAAATGAGGAATTTTTCATAATTTATCGAGAACACATCTATGTGGATATGATTGTGTATTGCTCTTGAAATAAAGCTTTTACTGTGGTCATGGTTTTCTATTTCTTCTTATTATTAGCTGAGCAGCTTCAGAATCATTAACGAAATATTTAAGGAAACAATAATTTTACATTTGGAGGTCATTAATCAGTACCCTTTATATTATAGAAGAATATACATGAGCTGCCATTACAGGGCTTCCCAAAAACATAGATAGATCTAGCTAAAAGCTTAATCGCTTGTAGAATCATAACACTAGAAGCTATATAAGCTTCTATAAACTACTTATAATTTTCGGAAATCTTTTTCATTTGCACTCATTATTTGCATTATTTCATATATCTATCATATGTATATCAATCTTAATACCAACTTGTATCTTATAAATACATTTATCTCTGTTTTAGAAAGTTAACTCTTACAATTATTCCTGATAGAAAGAGACGGAGTTGCAGTTGCAATATTTGTTTTTGGACTTTGCCTTGCCTTCTAATGCTTTCAAAAGTGTTATTTGCATACGTGCTTTATCCCTCTCATATTGCCCACAGTTTCATCTGCTTAAGATGTCTAACACCAAACCGACAACGCACACACGCACGTACGCACACACACAACACACACATAAGTCAGATGGGGACACATTAAGTAGAAACGTATATATATAAATATATAGATAAATGTAAGTATGCATGTCAATGCATATGAAGATACACTTATACATATACATACATATATATGTGCAATGCGAACAAAAAAAGGGAGCAACAACGATTCAGGACCTTTTGTATAGCTAATGCGAAGACTCGAAGTCGTCTCATTCGCTCTCGTCCTCGCTCGTCCTCGGCATTATCGTCGTGGCTGTCGTGTATATAGAAAAAACAAACAAGCAATACAGGAGTAAGGCCGATAAGCTCTATGGCAAAGGAGCGAGAGAGAGAGTGAGAGGGAGAGGGAGAGACGGAAAAGCAATATTAGAGAACTTGTGTGCTCAGAAGCTCCAGCTGCTAGACAGAACTTATTGAGTAGCTTAAGAAAGCCAGTCACGATCCATTTAGTTGCTCACACTTGAAGCAGTTTTACGGCTCAGTTGGCTGTACTTTCATTTCATTGCATTTGCTTTCCATTGCTCTTCGCTGCCTTAAAGCTCTCTGCGCCAAGCAGCTGCCCGCGCGTCTACGTCACCCGGCAACTACTTCTACACACTACGTCTATGTCCGAGGCTCACAGCCACAGCCACCCGCGCCACCCGCACCGCCCACAACTAGCAGCAGTGAATTTCGTAGCTGCGCTCTTGCTCACTCTCGCTCTCGCTCTCGCTCGGCTCTCTGACGCGCTATGCGCAACAATGGCAGCTGCGCTCGCTCACCAATACATGCAGTCGGAGCCATGCGAACGAGGCGACGCTTTTCGTTTTCTAATGTCTGTTTCTCTTTCTCGCGCATTAGTTTTTAGTGTTTGGCATCTCGCTTTTTTGTTTCCTTTTTTGCAACTCACATACAGACGAGCACACGCACACAGACACGGACTGTCGCTGCGCATGTAAAGGGCGCCTGGGCTTGTACATAAAACATGGGCGTGTTTGTGCCGTCAACGTCGCTGTTCGCTGCTCGCTGTCGCTGCTGCCGCCGACAGCGCTGCTTGCGCACCAAAATTTTGTGTACTTTTTTAGGATATCAAATAGGGATACAAAGCCGACATGCACACACGCACACACACTGGCATATGCATATACAATTGCAAAGGGGCAGGGCCCTATATACCGTTAGGAGTAAAATGCATTCCTGTTTTGTTGTTGATGCTGTGCGTGTTTTTGTTTTTGCTTTATTTTTGCGTGCACCAACTAAAAATTATGTCTGCCCTCACATCGCTCGGCCCTGGAGGCTGCAGCCTAACTATGTACGTGCTTATGTATTTGTGCGTCTGTGTGCAAGCGGCTTGGTATTTGCAACTGCAATTGCATTTGTATTCTCTCTCTCTACACGCACAACTACACACGAAGCTTTGAGTTGGTTCCTGCGTATTTTTTGGGCAGCCATTTTAGCTTGAGCCTAGCTCAGGCCCAGGTTCTAATGCAATTGCATTGCGATGCGGCTGCTGGCTGCGCTGCTGACGTTAGCGTCACTCCTATATGCACGACGTAACGTTGCTGCCACACCCAGAAAAAGTGCACTTTTCTACAAACGTTTTTGGATTTCAGGTTTTTTGATTTTGCTTCCTTTTTATTTTTCGCCTATGTACAACAAATATGCACATGCTACTCTTTTTAGTGCTGCTCGGCATGAGTATCTGTGTGTGTGTCTGTGTATATGCGCGAGTGTGTATGTGTGCATGAAACTGCATTCGGTTGGTGCTAAAAGTTGCACTCTACATGCACATTTTGTGTGCGTGGCAAAAGCCAATCGGGTGCTTGCTGCACAGCTGCTCTTTTTCCATGACTCCAAAGCTCGGACTCAAACTCGAGCAAATCCCCCTACGGCGCCCATTCGCATTTCTAAAATGAAAGTCTGTAAGCTTAGCTTATGCAATGAGCCTTTCATTTTTCTCACAGCCAAGTAGTATACAGTATATATATATACATATAGTATATATATCCTGGAATCTATTACTTTAAATAACTCAACGAAGGGCAGTGGCTTCGACTTGATTGAATAGCCTAATCAAATATGATTGCTAAAGAAAATCTGATCAACTTTTAATTTGTTTTTGCCAAATTAGAATTGCTAGAAGTTCATTTGAAATTAAATTAAATTAAAATATATTTTTTTTTTTTTTTTTTTTTTTTTTTTGTTTTAACTTTCTCAATATAATAAAAATAAGTTTCAACAACATTAATATACAACTATGTATACTGATAGCGCTCAAATTAACTATGAACTGTTCACAAATATCATTTAAGTTATCATATATCATTCATCATATATACATCATACAAGATTTGTGTCTTTTTCAACTGTTAATTTGTTACAGCGAAAATCCACAAATAATTCAGATGCTAAAACGTTATGTCGGAATTTTATTGCTTTCAATTCAATTTTCAGTTTTTATTTGAAATCAATAATCATTCTTTCGTATTGACCCACATTACCGACATTTTATAAATACAATAAATATCTGGGTGTAATGCTGGCCAGCTTTGATTGAAGTGGCTTCTTTTTACAGCAATTATAGAGTTAGCGTCCGTTTTCTAATCAAATCAATTGAGTGCAGAGGTCAAAGGCCAAGGACGGACAGTGGGCAGCAACCTGCCAGCAAGCAACAAGCAAACAGCTTATTCACATTTATAATATTTTTTTCTATATCGTATAGAAAACACCCACATATAACGACTCCCACTCACTCACAGAATCACAGAATCACACACACACACACATACACACATGGGTTGATGATTTTTTCGCGTAACTTTGTGGGGTCTGGCTGGGATTTGATATATTTTTTTGCCGTTTGTTTGTTTGGGTTGTTAGAAAATTTATTTTTTGTGAAATTTGCAGCGTGCATTGGGTAAAAAAATGGAAAAAAGCGGCAGACGAAAAGGAAAAGCGGAAAAATATGTGAAATGTGTGCGCAAGTAAAAGAAAAGTGCCAACTTTTTTTGTTTTGATTTTTTTTTTAGCATTTTGTGAGCTTCCTATGCTGCGTTTTGTGTTTTGCTTTGCTCGTTCGTTGTATTTTTTTGCCGCTTCTGCTTCTCCCATTGTGCCGCTTTAGACGAAGGCGAAGGACGTTTGAATAACCTTGTAACCTTTTTCATTTTTTTCGGTTTTCTTTTTTTTTCTGTAGTCGCCGTCTGTTTTTGTTTTTGGTGCGGCGGTTCGCCACAAGTGTGCCCTTTAAACTTGGCCGGCAATAAAGTTGACCCAAAACCAAAGGCATTTTAAATGAGATAGTTTTAAGGCTTACCGTTCCATCCAGTCAACCAGCCCGCCAGCCAGCTAGTCATCAGCAAAGATTTCCCATTTTCCGATTTTCCCAATTGATTGCGTGGCACACATTATCTAGTTGAAAATTTGCGCTTTTCCATTACGATCACGACGCGTTCGCTGGCAAAATGAAACTGATCAGTGGCGATGCGAAAGCTGCAAAGCTGCGAGTCCTTTTGGATCGAGCAACCCGTTTTCTCGCTTAGAGCGAAATAGATTTTTCTAGCTCAAAATTTCTTTTGTTTGGTGTGACAATTAATATAAAGGAAGATCTTGGCAGCCTTTTGATGTCTTCAAACTTGTTCCTGACCGTAGCACACAAAACACCTCACCTTTTTCACCCTTTTTAACAAGTTTTGTCGTTCGTTGAGGTTCACACAAAATTTTCAAATAATAATTTTTTTTGACAGGGTTGCTTAGGCATTAGGCGGGCATTAGATTAGAAGATCCTCAGCTGCTGCGGCTGCTGCATGGGAACCGAAAAGCTGTCAAACGAGTTTCAGCTATCGCTTCCTAAGAGAGCTACCAACTAGAAGAGCTGGCAGAAAGCACTCTACTTAACTAAAGAAACTATCAAAACATAGACGACCACAAAGACTGCGATTTGCCTAGCTAATCTCAACTTTTCTTCAGTTAAAGTTCAAGTTTAAGTTAATGATGTTCTCTGCCAGTTCAGGGGTTAATAAGGGTGGTTTGCCTTTGTGGCTGTCCCGTTTTGGGACGCGTGCTCAGTGTCAAGGGTTAATTGATCTGATCCTGGCCAGCTCTTTATTATCTGTTCTCGGGACACACCACGAGGCAGTCAACCCCTAAGCGTGAGCAGCACGCGTGCGCCTTCTGATTCGCAGCTATTCCAAAATGGGACCCGTGAGGAGGTCGCAGTTCAGGTAGATCTCATTTATATTCAACTCAAGCGTTAAGCAGACTGTATGCAACTGTTTTCATTATGAAACTTGTTCATTTGCTTTTCCGCTTCTTTTTTTTTTACTCTCATTCAACATTTGAGCATTTAGCTAAACAAGTGAATATGAAAACACAAATTCCTCCTGACGAACATTTTGGCAAATGCTTTTCAATTTGTTGCTGCTGCTGCTGCTAGTTTTCGTTGTAGTTTTCGTAGTATTTCAAAGTGGTTTCCAAACAGTTGCAGCAACTTTTGCGGATAAACTTCATGCACCCAGCTGGCAGTGGGGCCGTGGAGCCGTGGGTCAAAAGGACTGTGAGCTTGCCGCAAAGGCAACTTTTAGTTTTCGCTTGCTAAAATAATAATTATGAATATGATTTTTAGAAATTAGTTGAGCTACCAGAGTCAGCTGCCTGGCGCCCTCTGGCGGCTGCCGTTTGCACATCTCCTTCATATTTTATGCTGTTCTGTAGCTGCTCGCAGCTTCATTTATTTTCCATGTTATTAAAATTCTAAAAATATAATTTGAGCTGAGCACTGCCTCATGTCGTTCTGCCAGGATCTGCCTTCCTGGCAGTCCAGGCAGGACTGAACTTTCGGTAAAAGGTAATTTACTAGAAAATTTGCTTTGCAATTAGTACAATTATCGTATGTGCGCTGACAACGCTCTCTACGCTGGCAACGGCCACGGTGACGTCTCTTTAAAGAGCTAGTGATAGCTTTAAGGAGCAATCAGCTCAAATGTCATCGAAAGGGTTCATTTTATTCGCTGGCATGCACTTAACAAAGTTAAACAAAGTCCATTAATAAGAAATGCCCAAACGTCCCAAACTCAAAATGTAAATGAAAATGAAATGTAAATTTCTAGTTTGCATAGCAATTTGATCCAACGAACGCGCCCCAAGGACTTGCTTGGCTCGTCCTGGGTACCCTTCGAGTGCTGCCGTCAGCTTCTTGATGTCATTAATTTTTTAAGCTTACTTGGAATTTTCGGCCAGGCCCAAATAAAATGGCTGACCAAAGAGCGGCAATGAGAAAAGGGTTTTAATTGTTTTGGGCGCTCAGCTGCGTCTGGTCCGCTGCCCCCTTACTGCTTAGAGCTGCCCCCTTCCCCTACTGTGCTGGGTATTGATTTAGTTTCAAAATACACTTGAGCCTACCCATAATTAAAGGTCGCTGCTTCTCATTCCTCGTTTCTTGGCGCTTTTCTCTCTCTCTCTAGCCTCCCGATGATTTATTGTTTGACAGACAAAAGTTTGCAAGGCTCACGCACCAGTCGTCGTTTTAGGCCAAATTAGAAAGGGTTCTTAAATGTCTGCACTGGCTGCTGGGCTTGGGGGCCGGTCGAAAGGCCTTTCAGCTCCATGCGTCACTCGCACCATTTGTTGTCACGCTGTCTAGCTATTTATTTATATATGTTTAGTGTAATGTTTAATTTAGTAATGGATTAGTGCAGCGCCGGCTGCTGCTGTGGACTCTGAGCTGCCCGCTGTTCATTATGCTAAGTCACGCAGCCAAGCGGGGGCCAGGTCTGTGGGCGTCATTTTCAAGTTGAAGATTTATTGTGACATTTCCTTGAAATACGCAAATGCTCGTCCGGCCCAATATGTTCCTGACAGCCCCTGAGCGCAGCAGTGCCACCCAAGTCGCCATTTTGAAGCTCGCTCAGAATTGTATTCGGTTTAAGGATATCTATGCGATGGCGCTTGGTAATGCGCTGGGTCGCAGCCAAAATGAAAACTGAAATTTAATGAGGCGCCATTGCCGCAAACCAAAGAGCCAGGGATGGGGTCGCGGTCGGGGTGGGGGGCGGTAGGGCGCTCAGCCTGGCGAAAACTAACTTCAGTTGGTATCCTGTCAGGCAAGCCGAGCGCCACACAGGCACCAACAGCGGCGTCCGCTGCATGGATTGGTTATTATCTCTTAGTTCAGTGCATAACTTTTTCACTCTACATGTAAATTTAAGCCCCGTTACGTTGCGTTTGCAGCTCTCCATATTTTTTGGGCGAAATTATTTTATAATGAATGTTCGTATTTAGCTAAAGTTTCATGAATGGCGTTCATTACGGGCGCCAACATAGGTGAGTCTGTGTTGGTGTTTGTGTGTGTGTGTGTGTGTGGCTGTATTTCGGTAGTAGAAACTACAGTGAGTGGCGCATTTGAGAAGCTCTGCTCTGAAGTGAACCACAAAAATATGAAAACCACATTTATATTGCACATCGGGCAGATGTTTTCAAACTTTGTGTCTCTCAGTCCTCTCTCCCTCGACGCCTGGATGCCTGGATGCCTGGATGCCTCGATGCCTCTGTGCCTCGGTCAGTTTGTTCAGTGTTTGTCCCTCATATGCTAGTTCGCGGTGTCGGTTGTGTCCGCCAGCACTCGCTGGACCAACATTCGAGCATGGCTACCAAATGGAAATCATGTGAAAATGCATTCACTGATGTTGGTTTAGAACTTTCCACTAAGGTAACTGCATAAAGTTTGCTGCGGGCTAAACCAGCTACCAATGTACCAATACCAAATCCGTTTTCGAGTGGACTCATGCTTGCTACGAATGCCAACTGAGTATTGCAGAATTGTATAGCACATTACATATCTCATGATATGCTTTGTGATAGTTTTAACAAAGGCTGCAATCTGGCTGACAATTTATATTAATTCTTGAGCAAAAAGAAAACTGAAGAAAAGATTAATTTTTATTATGTAAAGTTAATGTAATTAATTATGTAAAGTTTATTTTAAATTGAGCTAGAGTCTTCTGTTTTACAATAAAATTATATTATTTTATTAAACTAATATAAATATAATATATATATAAAATGTATGGAATTAATATTGTAAATATTGTATCATTTAATTTTTAAATTATATGAATCCATTTATTGCCACTAAGCATGTATATCATATTTTCACAAACAGGCAATAATAAATTAAAAAAAAAAAAATTAATAAATAATAATGATAATAATAATTAAAGTTTTCGAAATTATGTAAAGGATAGAAATTACATATGATCGCAGATTGCTTTACGAATTCAAGTAAATGTGAAAGATAAAATAAAAAAATAAAAATAAAAATTAAATTTAGAAATATATTTAACTAAAATTGATTTAGTATAATATTTCGTACGAATATAAATAAATAGATGTTGTATTTGAATTCGTTGCTACACTAGAAATTCTCTTTAGAAATGTTTTTAATTTCCCAGTACCTCATTTCTTAATAATTTGAATTTCATAAAAATGTATGTTTATGTGTATTTTATGAAAAGAATATACATCACATTTAAAATTCCCTGAGCTTCAACTGTAGAATAATAATAAACTAATATGGCAAGATAATTCTCATATTCTTTTAATAATAAATTGTCAACTAAGAGTATTTCCTCATTAAATATTACCTTATATAATACTGGTCTCAGTAATATGCATGAAAATCGTGTGCGAGTGCTTTAAGCATGCCGGGACTTTCACAATGTAGTTTACACGCGAGTGCGCTGCTCACTTGACTCACGCCTTGTCCTGCTGCTCCTTTCCACTCCTTAATCTGCTACTGACAACCCAGCAAGCGGCGAAGCAAAAGCGTAACGAATTTTTAGTATAAGGGAGCGGTCGATGGCGGCCAGAGGAGAACCCACTGACAACCCTTTCAAAATTCAAACTTGACAATTAAGTAAAATAAATGAGAAGCTCTCGGCGCGGGCTACGTGACGTGGCCAGCAGAAGATGCGAGCTCAGAGAGAAAAAGAGCTGAAGGAGTGAGATGCCGGGTAGATGCGAGATGTGAGATGCGAGATGGGAGATGCGAGATGCGAGATGTGAGCTGTGACCTGTGAGTTGGTTGCCCTGGACATGGCCCGCAACTTTGACACCCTGCAGCAACGGCTACGAGTGAAAGGCACGGAATCGGTGCGGTAGTGGGGGTCTGAGGCGTGGGTAGCGGGAGCTTGGGTTGTTGGCTGCTTGTTGTATTTGTGGCAGATTGTACCCCAAGGTACAGGCAAATTGTTCCTCTTCCGCCGCCCGACGCTGCTGCTGCTGCTGCTGCTGCTGGCAGCCATTATGGCCAACTTATATTTGCGCTAGAGAAGCACAACAAAGCAGCGTCTGGGCAGCGCCGCTGCTGCTCGCAATCTGCTGTATCTGTACCACCCACACATTACTGGGCTGTCCAACTACAGCTCCAGTTCCAGTTCGCACCGCATGTTTTGTGCGCAGTTGCTGAGGTCACGAATGTCGTAAGATGAATCCTTTTGGCAAATGCCTTCAGGGTGCAAATATAAAACAACGGCAGCAGCTTCACACACGCTCTTCCTTCTCCAGGTTGCCCCCTGCCCCCTTATTCTGTTTTATTTAGATTAGTTGTTTGGGCTTGCTGCTGCTGCTGTTGCTGCTGCCAGGATGTGGCGTCGCTCTGGCACTCGCAGCAGCCCGCGCAAGAAAATAATGAAAACAGCAACTTTCATAATGAAGGTCCTTCAGTGGCGCGTTGCTGCCGCCAGTGTGTCCCAGTCCCAGTCCCAGTCCCAGTCCCAGTCCCAGTCCCAGTCCCAGTCCGAGCCCTTCTCTGTGTCCATGTCCATGTCCGAGTCCCTTGCTCTTCTCTTTTGAAATTATAATCTGCGCCATGGCGCCACCGTCGTCGTCAGCATCAACATGTTCGTTCCGCCTTCGCTCCCCCAGTGTTGACAGCCTCCTTGCATTACTTCTCATGCTTCGCCTGTTTAAGGACCTGCGCTCGGTTTACACGCTTAGCGATAGAATGCTCGGGCACTTTGTTACTTGTGTTTAATGCGTTGAGAGATGAGGTAAATGTATGTGTGTGTGTGTGTGTTGGTGGGTGTGTCACCCTCATGTTTTGAATAAATAGCTTTCAGGTTTTGGCTTCTTTGAGCGATCCCTCCAGGAGAGAGAGAGATAGCGAGCGAGCGAGAGAGAGATAGAGCCAGAGTTTATACAACAAATAGCCTCAGTCGAGTAATTTACATGCAGAAATCAAATAAGCTCCATGTTCACATAATGAACATAAAAACTGGCAGCGAGCTCAGCGAGCTCCCGGACCGTTAACTCGCTGCTGAAACAAAAGCGAGTCAGAAGAGTCAGAGTTCAGAGTTTTCCCTAATTACTTTGATGAACAAAGGCGGGCGCAATTTGAGTGACGCAAACAAAAGCATAAAAACCAACATAAACGAGAAAATTGAAAAGTTTTTTTGTTTTTTTGCTTTTCCTTGTCTTTCTAATTTATTTTGAGCATTTGTTGGGCCTGGCTGGCGACTCAATTCATTTGGGAAGCAAATTATTTGCCAACTAGCAACTAAAACTATTTAATTTCCTGCACAGCAGCCAGACACTGCACTGCCAACCAAATTCAATTTACACCCACACACACACCCCAAGATTAAAGAGCAGCATAGTTTGAGGGGGAGCCGAAAGGAAGCAAGTTTTATTGCACCCACACAAGTATGCTAAGGGCTGCAGACTGCTACCCTTGTCCAGGCGCACACCCTCCTTCCCGTTTGGCAAAAGCCAAGCCCATATTCGCATCTGTGCCCAGACAAAAGTCACAACTATCCCAAGTCCGTATGCGGGTTTGAATCTCGCTTGACCCAAGCCTCCTCCCATTGGCAGTGCGACTTTTTGGCCATGACTGCAAACCGAAGACGCCATCTTAGTCTAGAGTGGGCGGATGGATTCAATTTGCATTTCCATTCTGGCTACAAATATTTGCACTGACCAGAGAAATGAGTTATTGAATTAGTCAGGCGAACAGGCTGGACTTCACAACAGTTAAATTATGAATTATTATCTTCTAGATGTGAGTCTGCTGTTCGCTTAAAGCGCAAACTGGAATTTAATTAAAGCAGTGAGCAAAGGATAAGGGTCTTCGATTTCTTTGTGCCTCTCGCAGTGCCTTGGCCAACCCTTGCTTTCACTTCGCTTCGCTTGCTTTTTTGCCTTTCATACCCCTAAGTTGACCTAATGTATGCAGCGCACAAATATTGTCTCAGACGGCTGAATGAACTCTCAGGCAGGGGCGAACAGTTAAGCCGGACAAACCAAAAGGCAGACGAATCTCTTCGACTAGACGCATCGGGAGCAGCAAAAAACTGCGAAAAAGAAACTGCAGAGGATGGAAGAGGCAGAGATTTGTCTGTGCGTCTGCCGTTTTTTCTTTCCCTTTTTTATTCTGCTCATCGTTTTCTTCGGTTTCTTGTTCATAGACTCCTTTCAATGTTTGCATTGGATTGGCTTACACTATCTTTGAAGCCCATGTGGAAGCAGCATCGTTGAGTTCTTTCTGTGAGTGTAGCAGTCATGAGAAATGCAATATATTTCAATAAAAATGCTGGTGTTTAAATATTTAAATAAATATATTATGCTTTTTGAGTTTATATATTGACGACAATTGTTTTTAAAATTCATTTTAATTTTTACTACTTTTTTTTTTTCTACAATGTATATCAAAATACTAGAAAATGATCTTAAAGCCGCTACGCTATTTAATTATTATTTTCTTTTTTTCCTTTTTACTAACAACGAATGCCTCATCTTATATTGGCAGAATGATATCTATTTTGAGTGTGTTTGAGGTGCGAGAGGTCAATTATGTATACAAATTTCTTTTTTCTCATTTTTTTCAGCTCTCGTACTGCTGCCAATGCCAGTTTTTGTTGAGACTCTGTTGTCTCGCTTTACGGCTTAGCTGTTCTTTGACCCTCTTGTGTTTTGGTCTTTATGTGATCCCATTTGAGAACGTTTAACGCGTGCCTGACTTGTGGCAGAGGTACGAAACGCTCGATTGGTAATTGATGGAAAGCAAATCGTCTATAAATCAAGTGTGCAGCCGGGAGAAACAAAAGCGAAATTCAATAAATGTCACTAATCCCAGCGCTAAAACAAATCGCCAGCTATTTGCAATTTTAATAAGTAAATGAGGCGGGATAAAAACAAATGCTGAAACTGAAACAGAAACAGCAATGGCTACAGAAATATATGCAAATCCATTAATAATCCATAAAAATGATTAATTACTGTAAACCTGTGTGGGTGTGCTCTGCTTTGTCTGCTGTCTATCAATGCAGCCGCGACCCAAACCCGACCGCACATCACACATACATACATACACATACATACTGTTAGTCGAATGTTAGGTAAAGTGTTTGTTTCATTGGAAATTTTCCAATTTATGCTTATAATCGTAGCCACTGTACAAATGCATGAACTGCTCTGCCGTCGGCAGCTGCTTCTTCTGCCACTGCCGCTGCCACCGTTGTCGTTGTTGTTGCCACCGCTGCTACTGCATGGCTAACGCACATGCGCAATCTAGCTACATATACAGGTTACATACGTATTAGTGTGTGTGTGTGTGTGTATGTATGCAGCAGCTAAGCAATGAAAATCCGACATTGCGTCGGCCATTCCGTTGCCCGGCTTCCATTTTGCCAGCATCGGCCATGGCGTTTAGTCGTCCACACAGCACAGCAGCCCACGCCTCAAGCCGCATGCCACACGCCTCTTGCCTCATGCCCTGTGCAAATTGGAATTGCAATAGGTTGGCAGTTCGGCCCACTCGTAACTGGGGTGGCTAGCTGTGCCACCCCATGAGCCGAGGCTTAAGAGCTGCAGTTAGAATTGCGTAGTTTCTCTTAAATTATCCGAAACAGTAAACTACTTTACCGACAATTGTTCTAAGGCATCTAACTGCCCATAGATGGCGCTGACATGGGCAGTTTTGTGTCTGCTGTTGAGGGTAGGGCGGAAGTTCCATCTATTTAGGGTGGATTTGAATGCAAAGGATGTTTGAGAAGTATATTATCTGTTGGTATTGAGTGAGGCAAAAATATTTCTGAGTCCAAATTTCGTAAAGCGGTGTATACTTCAGAACAAATTAACTATAGAACATTAATATTTTTAATTTGAAGTTTTAGTAAAATATTTTTGTTCCCCAAATATTCCGTAACTCTTTTCAATAATATTGTTTTTTTTTTTTTTTTTTTAATAATTGTTTTCAAGAAATAGTGTTTGTTTCTCTCTCTAGCCTTTAAATATATTTAGAATATGTTTTATATAATATACATGTAAATTTAATGAAATGATTAATTTTGCTAAAACGTTTGGAAGCGTAGCAACGGTTACGGAATATTTCACTTCATATTTGTAATATTTCAAAATCTTTCACTGCCAACAGATGTACACTTTATATTAAAGGACATCAATTAAACGACTGCAACTGGAATTTCTGCTTTTCAGTTAAAGAAATCAAAAAATTGCCATTATTTCTCGTATCGATTTATCCATAAGTCTTATCAATTTGTTGTCTCTATATAATATACGATATAATAAATGTAAAGTATATGTGGCCACAATCGGACAAATCTTGTCGAACAATTAATCTGAGATTGTTGGCTGTTTGACAATGCAATAAAATGCCAAATTTGATCATTAAGAAACAACTCAGAAAGAACAATAAAAATAAGTTTAATTGAGCGATTCTCCATCATCTTTGCCATAAAAATGCGTGAGCCGAAATTGGTTTTCGTGTTTATGTGGAGCACAAGTGTCGCCTTAAGCCCCGACAGTGTCAAAAGATGAACAATTTACAATTGTGAGACAATTAACTGACAGTCGCGGCCAAGCCATAAATCTGAGGTGCTAAAAAAGACGAGACGCGCCTGGACTCAGTGGGCAAGAGCGGGGTGAAGAAGAGATGAGCAGAGAGCAGCGCATAAAAAGTGAAACACATGTTTTGTAGATGCTCGATTTCTTTTTTCTTTTTTCTTTTCTTTTTTTTTTTTTTTTTTTTTTTTGGGTGGTTGGTTTCCGGTAGCCGGGTGGGCAAAGCAAGGGAGAGGGCGGTTAAACTTCTGTGAGCAGTGCGTGCCGCAAGTGTCGCGTTTTGAAATTGCTGTGGCATGTTGTGCAGGTCAGGTCCACAGAACAGCACCAAAAACTTTGACAGAGTCCAAAACCCCATACCGCGCCCACTGGAATCCCAGCAGGAGTTTCGCGTCAAATAATAAATGTGCCACATACGCTACAAAATGCAGCCACGAAAATCCGATTATTACATTTGGTATTCGAATGAAACAATGTACGCCGATAACAACAGCTCTCAGTCCCCGCTCCCATAATCAATTAATGCTGGCAATTTGTGCAGCCGAACGTAACCTCAATTATGTGCGCCAAAGTGGCTGCCGTTGCCCAGGATTAATCGCAAAAAAAAAAGACAACAACAACAATAAAAAAGCAACAATTTGGCAAGCAGCAAAAGGTAAAATAAAAAAAAGAGTCAACAGCAATTTTCCCATGGAAATCCGACTGGCTTGACATTAAGCGATCCAGACAACAACGATGTGAATTATAACAAAAACAAACATTTAGTAGACTAGCGGGTTGGAGAGCAGCAAGCTAATCGAAAAAAATGTCGAAAGTCATATACGAAACACAAACACAAATATAAACACTCACACACACGCACACAAAAGCCCAATGACAATGTCAATAGCAAAGAGCAAAACATGAAAATTACAAAAAATCTACCAAATCATTTGAGACTCGATGACAAAGGCGTTGGCCCTATTGGCATGGGAATATAAACAGGTGGCATAGTATATATCTAATATACGTAATATAAGTATATACATACGTATTGGGTATAGTTAGGATAAGGAGGTGCTCAAATTGATAGATCACAAAATACAAAAATACATATTTACCGACATGATATTTAAAAAATAGTTGAATATTCTTTTGACAATCTTTTAAAGAAATGTAATGTTGTTGTTTATATAGTTTATAATGAGTTCAAAAATATCTAATTAGCCCAACTGTCTGGCGCACATCGCATCCACTCAATTAATAATAAAATTCTGATTTCAATAAGAATATGAGATTGCAGAGTGAACTATTGATAATCTCATTTACATTGATCTCTAATCTAATCTGAAAACTAATTATTTATATTAATGTGTATAGCTATTAGATATTAATTCTTGGGTATGCTTATATGTGTAGCTCCTAGAAATATCCAAGTCTGTGATAATTAAATAAATTCTACTTTGTGTGGCCTAGCTGCCCTGCAGAATGAGTCAAATGTCTTTTATGTTTTTTGCTTCTTGTTTAGGGGATAGACTTCATACTAGTGGTCTTATAATTTGCGTTTAAATATAGGACATGTTGAATCGATTTATATACAAATTAATCAACATAAAACATAAAGCATAAAACATATCAAACGAAGTTATGAATTAAACACTTCATCTTACAGAATAAGATTGGATATTGAATTAACTTTAATGTGAATTTAATCTATTTATCATATAAGCAAATAATGCCAGCGCATTTTTTGTTGTTGTTATTATTTGTTATTTTTGATATTTTATTTAAGTTACGCTTTTTCAGTCTTTGTCATCAATTCTCTTTGTTACTTTTCCCCAAAAATCAAATTGTTGTAAACCAAAGGAGGTAACGCTCAGAGCGCTGCGCCATTGGGCAGCAAAAGCCAAGAACACCAAAATGCAAGTTGATGCAGGGTTTTGCTCCAAATGCAGTTGAAGTCCAGCAACAGCAAAAAACTTTATAAATATATATGATAGAGAAGCTAGGATTGGCAGGATTTCAGTGGGAAAAAAGTGCAATGCTGGCATAGGCGAAACGCATCCTCTTAGGCTGGCGCGCGGTGCATTTGCTTGGGGTGTGGGTGCATTTTCAATCAGAATCGCTCAACAGCGCAACTGCAGCAGCTGGGGCAAAAACAACAAGCAAACTTCACAAAATTGCACTCGGCAGCATTTTGGCAAACTCTCAAACTCAAACTCTCGCGGCTCACATTGGCGCATAAAACAAACAGTTAGTCGGGCTGCAAGTGTGCGTGTGTGTGGCACTTGCTCTTTATCTTTTTGCATATAAACGTCGCTAGCACCACTGGCTCAACCACCCACCCACCCACTTCACTGGGGTGCCTGCTCGCCTGCCTGCCCGCCTGCCCGCCTGCCTGCCTGTCTGCCTTGGGTGCCCAGTGCATTTTTGGTCAGCTGCAGATCGCGATTGCAATTTTTTCTCGCTGCACTTTAAGTGCAGTTTACCTCTTTGCCATGTTTGGGCCCCCAGTTCCCCCTGTTTCGAGTACCCCTGTCCACAGTCCCTCGCCAGTCAGCGTGTATCCGTCCCCCTCGTACATGTGCCGGCCATCGGGTTCCACTGGCTCTTTGGCGACTTTGAGTGTGCGGCGTTAGAAATTGCGAAAAAAAAAGTTTCGCGTTGCAAATGAATTCTTACAAAGGACATGCATCCTCCCCAGTCGCCAGCTAGCCGACATGCACATGTGTATGTATGTGTGTGAGGAGCGACGGCTGAGGGGTTGGCCATTGCATTTCGGTGCGGACTTTGGTTCGTTGACGACCAAGTGCCAATTCGCTGGCATGTTGGATTGAAGCGCTGGAGTGGCGCTTAAGTGCCATGGCTCCAGCCTGCTGGCCATGCAGCCCGCCACCCGCCGCCCGCCACCTGCCCCTAGCCCTCCCCTGTTGCAGGCAGCAAACTCACTCGCTGCGCTTCTTTTTCATTTAATTAAAATTATTTGCCTTTGCCAGCGACTCACTGGCCAAACCCTGAGGCCCCGCACCATCGCCACTCGGAACTTAGCTGGATTTGGGCGCCGCTAGCGTCTTCCTCATGTGCAGCCAAATCACATTTAAGTGCGTGCGGCTTAATGTCAATTAGTGGTGCAGTCACCACACGCCCAATCCAGTTGCCAAATGCAGCGGTGCATTCAGCCGGGCAGCAATCAAAGCTCAGCGCGGGACCGTAAGCTGCAATTATTTTTGTTTCAAATGTGTATAAAATGCATACAAAAATAGAAATAAATGCACGAAATGCTTTACTGTTGCCAATTACAACAACACGCAGTGAGTAAAAAAATAAGCACAGAAACGTAAAATAAATAAAAACAAGCTGCAGCATAACATATACAAATTCAAATTCCCATTTGAACGAGGCCCTCCAAAGCGCAAAGGAATGCAATGATCAAAAGCTAAAGTTTAGGTGGGAGAATTTCTATTGTATTAAATAGTTTATGTATATTGCAAAGGTTATTTCATTGGAGTGCTCAGTCTTTATTTGTTATCATTGCAGAATATATAGAAATTATTTAAGAACAAAATAATTAATTACTTAAACAGAACCGCTGCATGCGTAAATAGACTCAGCGCAGTCAATTCATCTCGCATCTAATCGTTATCAACAACAACAGACGAAGGCTGACAAGTTTGGATTCTCTGGTGGGGGAAGCATATAAACGCGATGTACTATCTAATAAAGTAAATTAAAAATAATATAATAAAGAAATAAACATATTCTGATTTCAATTGAATCTAATGGCAAACTCATACTGATGTACGTTTAAGAGGTTTAGCTTCTACTTTAAGTGAAAAAATTAATTTAAAAATAAAGTGAATATTATAATTTGGATAATACCCCAAATGAAAGCAACCCAAAAAATTAGTATAATTATATAATACAAATAATGAATACTTAATTAGATAACTAAATGACGGCTCTCTACATATCAAAAGTGTTGAAAGTTATTTATTTCATTTAAAAAAAATAAATAAAAAAAAAAAAAAAAAAAATTATATTTAAAACACATTGTAAGTAAGGAAAAAAATCAAACACCTCTGATCAGAATCCATCAGCTAGAGCAATAGATTGCCTTTATAAGAGATTTCTGTGTAGAGAGATGTCGGACATTAGAGACAGCGGAAAAGAGAGAGGCCATCGTTCGGTTAATACAGATGCTCATAATTTCCTAATACATATTATATAT